AAGAGAGAGGGAGAGAAAGAGGGAGAGAGAGAGAGAAAGAAAGAGAGGAGGGGGGGAACCTCCCATCTCTTTCCATTTCTCTTCCCCCCCTCCCCTTTCCCATTCTTGCTCCCCCCCCCCCCTCCCAGCTCCGTGGAGCATTTCCCGGGACCTGCCAGCATGTCTGCATTCAGGGGGGGGCTACTATTCCTTTCCTTCCTGGTGCTGGTCCTGGGACAAGCCATGGATTTTACAGATTACAGCGATGTCCTGGAAGAAGAAGAAGAAACAGATCCAATTGACTATAAAGATCCCTGCAAAGCTGGTGAGCTTGGAAGGGAAAAGGGGGGGGAGGGAGAGAGAGCACTCCACTGCCGGCACTGCGATGACTTCTCCTGTGGCCACCTCCTTTTGCAAATGTGTGCTTTTTGTGTGACTGGGGGTGGGCAAAGGGAACCCGTGGTCTTTTGTGTGTCTGTGGGCTGCTTGGAGGCTCCGGAAGGGCAGAGGGGTCTGTTTGAACCTGGGTCATGCACACTGCCTGGTTGGCAGTGTAGCCCGCAGACAAAAGAAAAGAGGAAAGTCTCTCCCCCCCACCCCCTTTCTCCGCTCCGGGTTGTAAAAAGAACTCTTGGACTTTTAAAGTTGGGACTGAGAATCTTTGACTTAACAAACTCCTGCGCCTCAGAAGTACTGACTGCTCGGAGGGATCCCTGCTCCCTGCGTCTCCCCCGTTGCCAGAAGTTCTGCTCGCTGTTCCATCTGCACACTATTGTTATTTCTTTTCCTACCATCCTGTACAAAATTGTCTGTGTTTGAGGCTCTTTGTGCGATGGCAGCGGAGTGAGGCCTCCTGGATTTGTATGTATGTCTCCTAAGGGGGATGTTTATGGCTGAAGGAAAGTCCACGGATGCTAGAAGAGGAATGTAAGTGAGGAAGTTGCCAGGATGCGCCCTCGGTAGTGTATCTGTTTATGCTTAGAAAGCGAAGGCTCGTGGGTTTGAATTGCCCTGATTCTCCATTTATTTTCCCTTTTGCAGCCAATTTTTTTTTTACAGCGGTTGGCAGAGGGGTACCTGTCAAAAAAAAGGCAGGTTTCTTACTTTCAGAAGGATTTCTAGAGACCACCTAATCTGTAATTGCTCACCTACAGTTAACCCTGTGACACTGAAATATTTAATCACCATGGGCATGTTTTGTAAAATGTATCTAAATGGCCATTTTTCTCATTCTTTGTCCCCATATTGTAGTGTGACTCGTACTGCCACCCTTCGTTAACATAAATCTCAGAAAGCTGGCTGTAAAGATATTTGCACTAATGCTTATCAGACGCGGGGCCCACAGTTGCAACATCCTGTATAGTGCAAGGCAGATGTCAAACTTTCTGGAACTGTATATCTGATCCCATAATTTATGAGTCTTCTGAACTTGTCATGAATGAAGGGCCTAGATCTTCTTCACTGATCTCAGGAGGACTAATTCTGTGGAAATTGACCTCTGTTGAACAGCATTTTAATCCTGCTGATCAGCAGTAGAGCACTCAATGACTTTTGACAGGGCCAACTTGGCAGTTGGCGTAGTAAGAGGCTCACGCGTTCACGTTTCCTTGCTGTCTTCATTCCAAATTAAAAAGCAATCCAAGTATTGAAATGAGCCAATGTGACTGAGTAATAATACCCTACAGTGGAATATGGGAGAGAGAAGAGGTCAGTTTTTAAAAGACGCTTTTGAGTGAAATAGACAAACGAAGGCAGAAATTACATGTCACCCACTCTGTCCACCATCTGAGTGTTCTCCTCCTGACAGAAAGTAGTAAAATGCAGTGATTTTTATGAATGTGTTCTCAGGTCATCTGGGCAAGCCTTTTTTTTAAAAGGTCTGTAAGCAGTATAGGAGAAATGTAAATTGTTTCTTTTAGTAGCCAAAAGCATCTCATTCTTGATGAGCCAAAAGAGAGCTGTAGGTGCCTGTTTGTTTATATAATACATAATGTAATACATTTTGTTCTAATCTTGCTTTATTTCTGTTCCTGTTACAATGTGAGCGGAATACTGTCTCCTATTTGGGAAGAGCTCCTTGTGTATCCAGACGTGGGAGCACAGGTTTCCATGTAGGCTTTCCGTTAATTATATTTGTACTTTCCATACAAAAATTAAAAGGAACAGACAGAGGCTTAAGCATTTACATATGTATAGGGTGTATATTCTCTTCCTTTCACTAGATTTACAAAGTTTGTGCTGGTAAGATCCTGTTCTGTCCTGGGATTTTGGTATAAGCAGTAATGGTTTCAAATAAATTAATAAGAACTTGTCCTGATTCCAAAACAAGTCATCAGGTAAAAATGCTGTTAGCCCTGGTTTTTTCCCCCCTGAAAATGAAGTGTGCTGAAATTGCTGTGACTTATTTCCAAATAGGTATATTCAGTGTTGGCATTAGTGTGAAGAGACCTTTTGAGAAAAAAGCACTTTATTACATTTCATCTCTTTGTTGAAGTGAAGCACATACAATATTGCCTGCAAGCCACATGAATTCCTGGTTGTGTTTGGTGGTTACTCCCAATCATGCCAGCTTAGGATTGCAGTCTGAGAATTTGGAACAATTTTATGCGTCATGCCGTCTTCAGTTAGAACTTAATCTTCAATAACAACCTCTCAGGGCTTGACTCCTGTGACATTTCTAGCCCTGGTAGTTACAAACAACGTGCTTTGTTTCCAGGTCTGAAGCTCATTGAGAGTTTTGTATGGAGTAGGACTTCAACTCCCGCTCTTTTGAAGTCAAGCTCCTGGTCTGAAGGATCTGAGTCATGATTTTGACTTCTGTAAGCTGGGCCAATGTGGCAGTGGCATTTCTTAGGGTGATCCTCACTGGAAGACCACATCCAGTGTAAACAAAAAGCTGTTTTCTTCAGGAGCAGGAATGAAGCTTCAAAAGGCAAGTGTATTGTTATGGTATGATGTGCTATCTGATTTTAATCGGATGAGCCACTGTCATTGTTTTTAACATTTAATAAGGTTTTTAAAACAGTACACAGTGGTGTTTTAAGCAGAACTCAGTGAAATCTTAGCTGGTTTTATGGAAATAAGAGACACCAAGCGATAACATTAATTGGACGTTTTTGAAATATTCGAGCACTTGCCTGCAAGTAGGGCAACGACCTGTACGGATGCACCCAATGTGAGAGAGCACGCAACACTCATGAACAAGACCACCACAAATAGGCAGCCTTTAAACCGAACAGGGTTGTTTATCCCCTATGCTTAAAAGCAATACCTTATCACAGCATCCAGAAATTCTCATTCATGTAGTTCATTAATATCCTGATTTTAAGGCTCCGCTAGTCAGACAGAGAGCTCTTGTCCATTTACATATAAATGAGTTCACATATGCAGATTTGACAGTATTCAAATCATTCCTTTGGGAAGTGCAATTTTCCTCTGCCATGATGTTCCAGGAAGAGTCAGAGGAGACCTGAGTGTTCAATAGGACGTAAATGCAAAAGCATTTCAGATGGTTTTATTCCCCTTTAAATTGCTTGACCCATTCTTATACACACAGTCAGGGCAGTGGCATGAATTATTTTCCTTGTACTTGAACACATATTTGCTGAAGTGTCTGGATTCCAATCTGGTGAGAAATTATTAGCAGAGCTGGGATATTTATTCCATGTTAAAATATGTCATGAAGTTGACCCTCCTTTTTAAAAGAAGGTCAATAATGTTCCACCCTAATTAGTACAACTGGCAGGTAAGCTTCCTGAATAAGGATATCCTATATATTTGGAAGGTCTGAGTCAGCCCAAGGGCTGTATGGAGAATTTATTTATTTATTCTTATCTGGCGCATCCTCCTTTGACAGGTTTCAGATTTCCATGGTGGCCAGGTTATATTTCTTTATTTAAACATTCTTTAAGGAATTATCTATAACTGGCACTGGGTATTTATTATAGCCTGATCCTATTGGCATGTCACCATTGGTGCCTTGCCATTTACTTCAGATGTACATCACATTTTAAATGCTGGATGTTATGATTCCCACCATCATAGCCTACATTCTTGTGTAGCGTTAGCCTTGTGAAAAAAATGAAAAATTGATTACCTACGGCATCTTGTACAGCAAGGTTCCTCAACCTTGGCAACTTTAAGACGGGTGGACTTCAATTCCCAGACTTCCCCAGCCTCCCGCACACGCTGCCCCCGGGAGGCCGGGGGGTCGTGTGACCTCACCCTTCATCTCAACGACAGAGCGGGACTAAAGGACTGGAGCAGGTGGG